AACAAGCAAAAATAGAAACAAAAAGTAATTAGAGGAGGAGGCAAAGAAAAGGAGAAAGTTCTATGAATAAAAGTTATTAGAATTCTTAATAAACAGATACCTTGGTATTATTTTCCTTTAGAAAAGGTCAGCATTAAATCCTAAACATCACAGGTACAATATGCTTAGCAATGGTATGTAAAATTTTGAATCTGTGAGTATACATAAAATACAGGTAAGACTGAGAAAACAAATGGTTCATTTTCCCACTCCATTGTAAACAGTAACTGCGTCACTTCTCTGGTGTTATTGATGGTGAAATAAATGATCTCTGAAGGATTCAACAGAGTCTAAGAATTAAGTTATTTTATTCCTGGAATCATAACCAGGGAAAACAAAAATCCTTGGATCATTATAGCTATGTTAAAATCAATTAGGATTGATCAGAGAAAGAGAGTTGAAATAATAATACAGAAAACACCTGAAGGAGTTCAACTTCCCAAAACATGAAGAATTCAGAATAAACTTTTCTATCCCTAAGAGCAAAGGCCACGTAAACTGACAATGACTTGCATGCCTTAATCAAGATCTATCATCTTTTGTTTCTTACTTTAACATCTGAATTTGATATAAAAATCTCAGATATAATAAAATTGTTTTATGTTTTAAGGACTTTAAAATTAAAAGTCCTTATCAGAACTCCCATTGTATGGTGAATATATTTTAATTAGTATCTCCCATGCTCTTTGAGACCTAGGACTCGAATGGATAGTATCTGAGAATTTTTAAGAATAAAGGCACTCTGAACTGAGGATGCTTAACTCCTCCATTTCCAAGTGAACATCAAGAAGTCGGTGCTAATAAATGCACATATTTGCAATAAACAGCATTATCACCATCATCATTACCATCACTGACCACAGATGTGGTTCTCATTTAACCACCATCCTTGTTAATGGAGTCTACAGGAAGTCTCAAACAACTGGTTGCTAGATCAAGTTTTGGGTTGTTTTGTTCTTTTTGTCTTTTCTGAGTCATGTTTCCTTTTCATTGTCTTCTGCAGTTTTCTTGAATTTAGTAGCGTGAAGGTCAAAGGGGTCACTGAGACTGTAATTTGCTCAGTATCTAATTATATTTTTTAAAAGATTTATTTAATTATTTATCTTTAAAGAGGAAGGGAGGGGGGAGAGAAACATTAATGTATGGTTGCCTCTTGTGCCTCCCCTGCTGGGAACTGGCCAGCAACCCAGTTATGTGCCCTGACTGGGAATCAAACCGCAATCTTTTGGTTCACAGGCCCCTGCTCAATCCGCTGAGCTACACCAGCCAGGGCAAGTATCTAATTATATTAAAAGGACATAATGCCTAATGACTGACTTCAAATTGTTCCCTGGTTGCAACAAAACAACCAGGATCAAAAGCTGCAAACTTGCAAGCAGCTGCCACTTTTTCTCTTAACTGTACTATGGGCTACATATAAATTTTATACAAACATGCATTTTAAAGCCACCTCATTTCTTTAAAATATTTGAAACTAAAAATAAAATGCTCAAAATTCATAACTTTTAAAAATCAAGCAAAAATATATACTCCCATAATATTCTATCTCCTAGTTAAAAATAGTTTTCATGATGCTCATAATCCATTTTAACTAATTCCTTCTCTTCCTTCACATAATTATTTTCCTATTGATATTATCTTTTCTTCTTAACTCCCATTTATTCTTCAATCTGTTCCACCAGTTGAGTCTCTACCACTCCCAAACTTTTACTATAAGGTCATCTGATTGAATCCGCTCAGTTACACATTCCAATGGAATACTGATTCACAATCGGCTTTTAATTGGCCTTTTGCAGCATTAGATATAGTTGAACATGTTTGAGTTTTGTCTACCTTCCCATTTTAGTGGCAGCATTCTCTCTATTTTTCTCTCCTTTACTAACTCTTCCTTTCTAGTGTTGCTAAAACTTTCCAATCACTAACTGAAGTATTGAGCGCACTCTAGGCCATCTTCTCTTTTTCTATACTGTCCCTGAGTACATCCATTCCAAGATTTTATGTTTTTACCTATCTCTATGTTTTGGACTATTAGATAAATATGTCCAGTGCTTGTAGACTGTTACATGAAACTCTGCATCTCTATTTTAATGTCTCACAACAGTTTCATGTTTTACATGGTCACAATTAACTTCCCTTTCTCCCAAAATCAGTTTTTCACCACCTTGTGGCATCATATCCTGTATCTCTCCTATTTTTCTCCTTTTACCTAACATCCAATCTACTTGTAAACTCTACTTTCCACCCCTGATCTACCACATTTACTCATCTGCAAATACTATCAGAAATATACCTTTTCTTTCCTGCTACTTAGCTTGTCCTACCCAATATGATCTCTCATCCAGTCTAACTGGCTTCCCTGCTTCTTTTCTTGCCACTTAAAATCCACCAAGCTTTTATCAAGTAATATTGCTCCCTATCTCTCATCATTTAGAATTCTGTAGTGCTTTCTCACTGCATGAAGAGTGAAATCCAGATTCCTCAGCATGGCATATAATTGTGTGATCTTACCTTTTCTCACTGCTGCCATTCCTTACTAAACTCCTGACACACTGGTATTCTCTTGCAAAATATCCTGTGTAAAGACCTGCTCACATGATGATATTCTCTCTGCTAATTTAGCAGCCCCTTCATAGTTTTAGATTTCGGACAAACCATCAATTGATCAAGAAAGTCTTGCCTGACTCCTAAAGGTTTAGACCTGTACTTATTCCCTATTTCCTGTTTTGAAACTTCATAGTGATTTCCAAGAGTTACTGCAATTTTCACATGTTATGTGTGTTTGTGGGGCAGGGAGAGAGTATATGTGTGTATAACTCCTTCATGGAGATATAAGGTCTTTGAATTAGAGACCATGCCTGTCTTAATTATTATTTTGTTCTTAGTAACTAGTATACTTCAATATACAGGGTCCAGCAGAAGTAACAGCTGCTTAATTGTGGTTAATAGGGTAATAATATGGATGTAATAATGTTTAGTTTTAATTTGAACATTTCACCTAAAATGTCATATGGTGTGCTTCAGTGTGGTAGTGTTATGTTACAGAATTGCATACTTACAATTTTGTAATAAAAGAGTTGGTAATAAATCATGGGCATTATTTGTGCCAGGCCCTGCATATTGTTAAGAACTCCACCATTTACTTTGATAAATGCAGTTTTTAATTTGTTTTAGTTTTGATTTTTATGAACAAATGTAAGAGTTTTACCTATTAAAGAGATCTCAGTATTGAAGGTATTTTGTAAAACCTCCTCACAGTCTACCATGTTATCTCACCAAACTTAGCAAAAACCAAAACCAAAATCCCTGTTTCCCCTGACATTACTGAAAAGCATTTCCTTTTACTTGGTTAGAACTTTTTTACAAAAACAGACTAAGTCTAGAATTCAGACACATGTGGTATATAGTGAATGTCTTTTCAAGAGATGTGAAAGATTCGGCATAGGACAGTGGAAGAAGCTATGCAAGGATGCAGTTTCAGAGTCAAGGCTTATCTGAATCCCACAGGGAACATGAATTAAACCAGAGGTTTTTTGCCTTTTGAAACCACATGTCAATCCATGAGTGGCTGTGGGCTTCTCCTGACGCTGGCAGCCCAGCCAAGGGCAGGAAGGTGGCCGCTGTGACCCATTAAGCAGCCAACAGCATTTGAGGGATAGGTGAGCTCAGTGAGTGGGATAGAAGCCCTTATGCTTTTTCACTTAAACAATTACTTAATACGATTATTAACTCTATTTTATGATGATGAAATTAAATGTGAAAATTAAGAGACTACTTCAGCACTCACAGGTTGCTGTCTAGATTGGAACCCAGGACTTGCACTCTAAAATTAAGACTTTTCTCCACTGAATCCTGCTTTATAGATGCAAAGGGAATCTTATAGAAATAAAGGAATTCCAAGTAAGGGGACAGAAACAATGACTTAATTGCTGATGATATCCTTTTAAATTAGGCAAGAAAATCATGAGAACAATTAAAATATAAAAACACTCATGATTCAGTTTTTAATAATGATTTTGTTCTCATCATGAAGAGAACCACCATATTAAGAAGAAAGATAATACTATTTAGTGCCTATTTGTTGTTTACTGCATGCCTACTATAATCATGCTGATATCTTTGAAGGCATTTTCATATTTAATACCATGTATAGCCTTATTGGGTAGATACTATTATTATTCCCATAGAACAGATGAAAAAGTAAGCCACAGAATTTTTGTCTTGTTCAAGGTCGTAAACCAAGAAGTGGTATGTTTCATTAGCCTGATACTAGATTGTGTGTTAACTAAGAATATTCCTGGCAAAGTGAATTGCTGTACCTAATTCTATACATAACAAAATAATTCTATTTCTAGGAAAAAAACCTTATGAGAGAAACAGAGCCAAAATACTCAGAAAATGATAGAAATTAATAATATAATTGATACTTTATTTCAAAACACACTAATTATTAAAATACATGTATTTTACTATAACAAAGTTCAAATATATATAACACTTGACTAAAAAAAGAGAAAAAATGTGACTCTAAAACTAGAAATCTTTAACAAATGAAGAAACATCCATCTTTACAGAAAGAAAATTGAAAATCTAAAAAAAATATTTTAGAATATGAAATATGCTACAAAGTTTCTCTATTTTGAAGGCTAAATTCCCAATGAATTATAGAGAAGATTTTTTATCATTACAGTACAATCTACTTCTTTAAATAAATCTATTATTTTTAAAATGGAATCTTAGGGGTTACTATCACCAGATTTCTAGATACATGAGCAAATATTAAGTAAGAATCAAGGAACAAGTAATTCTTTGAATACTAGAAGAGGCATAGCATTGTTTGAAATAAACTTGGGGAGACTACTAAGAAAGAGAAAGATGATAAAAGGGCAACATATAAAAAGTCCTAGCAGCTATAAAAGTTATGTACCACTAAAGCATACTTCTCAACTATGTATTCTACACAGGAAAGAAATTTTATCTGCAAAGCATCCTGCTGAGAGACTTGAAATGCTGAAAAGGTAAGGTGCTTGCTTTAGCATGAGAAAAATGAAAAGAAGAGAAAGTTCGGGGTAGGGTGGGGGGAACAACCTAGGAGTGTTAAGGCAAAATAATAGTGAAAATTGTTGAACTGTTTGTGTTCTTGTTTGAGGGAAAATTGGAGTGCTTTTGACCTACAGGATTATCATAAAGATTTTATTTCTCTCGTTTCTCAAGCTATTCTGCAGACACTCTGTCTTAATTGAGAACAAAACAAAGAGAGGTAGTAAAAATAGAGAATACAATTTACATTTTCTCTTAAGTGTTCTCAGACGTCTGGCATTATATTCTGAAAATATAATTGTATGTGAAAATATGGCTGTAATTTCATCTCTTTCAAAAGAATTTTTAACACTCACACAGTACAATGGTCAAGGGAATTTTCAAACTGCATTTTCAGAAACTGTTAGTTGCTCTCAAGTCCCCACAAAGTTCAGAGTAAAGTACAAACAGATCTCTACATCTGTTTTATTATTATAGTTCTATGAACAATTTAATTTGGAGCCTAAAGTCAGTACGTATGTGTGAATATGCATATTTTATTTAGTCGACTGCTTATACTACTTTGAAAATAACTGGTGTAGGTAATCTACTAAAAATAATAGCTAAATGTGGAAGATTTTCAGCAATTAAGCAAAGGAGAAGCCAAAAAAGCCATCTGCTCAGATGCAACTGAATTGTAAATGTTTTAAATAATAATTTATTGCTGGAGATGATGTTAAGCAAGGGATAAAGCCTTCAAAAGAACACATTTGCTAAGCAGAAATTAAAAGAGATTCTAATGGAAACTGAAATTTTTATTTAGAAAATTGAATAAACCATTCACATTATACTAAATAGTGTTTTCATGGACAAAGAATAAGTTTATATACTAAGTCTATAAAAAATGAAAATATTGAAGTTGTAAAAGTTTATGGCTATGGCACTGATTACTACAAAGACTGTAAAACTCTCCTTCAGGAACAGAAGCAGGTTTAGTTTGCTGTATCTGTTCACATTAAAATCTCCTTAAAGGTCAGAAAGTACAGAACTCATTACTAAGATCAGATGATTTTTTAATACAAACATGAAATTATAACTCAGAAATAGGTATTTAAATTTTTAACAGTTGGACCAATTTGATTATTATCAGTTGAAAAAAGAATGTTCAAATTAAAATTTAAGAAAGTGTTCTGTTGCCGTAGCTGGTGTGGCTTAGTGGATTGAGCACTGACCTATGAACTAGAGGGTCTCTGGTTTGATTCCCAGTCAGGGCACGAGTCTGGGTTGCAGGCCTGGTCCCCAGTAGGGGACACATGAGAGGCAACCACACATTGATGTTTCTTTCTTTCTTTTTCTCCCTCCTCTCCTCTCTGTCTAAAAATAAATAAATAAAATCCTTTTTAAAACAAAGTATTCTGTTTCTGTCCATATAGAGGGATTAGGCTGTAGACTTACAATACAATCATATTTTGTGATATAGAGGGACAGAATCGTGGTCAATAATAAGTTTAAAAATGAGTTAGATAACAACTAAGGTAAATCACCTAAAATCCAACTCAGAGTTTAAGTTCATTATGCTTAGAAAATAATTTGACTTATAAAACCACAACAGATACATGCATTTAAAAATTATTTTAGATGTAATTTCAAAAAATATATTTCATAATCTTGGGGGACGGCTTGGCATAACAGCATTTTTTTTTTCATTCTTGGAATTATGTGGCTTTGATTTGGGGCCATTTTCCACTGTGGTTCTATTGAAGTACACTAGTCCTATGTCACTGTGGTAAAAATAAACTATGTTTAACGTTATGATACTTTTTCAGCCAAGCACCACATATGACTATTACCTTTTTTTGTTAAAATTAGAACATTGTTGTTTGCTTACCAGTAATCTTTAAATAATTTGTTTTAAATATTAATTCTAGAATTTTTTAAAAGATCTGTGATATATGTGATGATAAATTCAGGATGTTACTTCACTGCTTATTTTTGGTCACAGACTGACAACCGTTTTTTCCATATCATTAAAGTTATGTTGCAATTTTTCCTACATTTAATTTGTCCCATATAATTATCTACAAGTTTTCTGCAACTTAGAATGTTTTGATTAATATCAGCGAATACTTAGAATACTTCAACTACAATCCTTGTGATTAAATATGAAACTTTAATAAGACAATGCATATGGTAAAGATTAAATCATCATCTTCTAAGGCCAATTCACTGCACACTTTCTGAAAATACTGTCTCCACCAGCCTCCTCATACATCTTGCTCAGGATTTTCCGTGTTCCTTGGTGAAGGCACTGCCACATTTCTAAGAATCCCTTAATTTTTTTCTGAAGTTTCTTAGTCTCTTCTACCCTGCATAACTTCTGTAAAAGGGGAAAGCTAATAATTACTGTTCATCAGTAGTCTGTAGCTCTTTGGTTTTTGAACTGGCCACATCAACCTTTTTAAATTACACACACACCAATTCCATCAATAATTTACATACACACCAATTATATAATTTAAAAATATGGAAAAACTCCCATAATATTCTCATCATAACAAATAATATACAAAATTCTTATGAAGTCTTAGTTTATGTAATTGTATATTCTTCTATTCCTTACATTTTAGCATAACCATAATATTTCATTTAGTGGATACTTTTATAAATTATTTCTTGACTATTAGATATATAGTTTGCTTACAATTCCTCACTAAAGTAAACTTATCACAGTAAATCATGAGGTAATAATTAGGAACTACCCATAAGTTGTAAGAAGTAGCCAAACTCACTGAAAAGATATTAGATGCTCTGAATGGGGAAGGAAGAACTTGAAGGGATGAGAAGAGGGAGAAAATATGTGGAAGAAGTTATAGAAGTAGTAGGGGTATCAGCTCTGTTTCATGGCTCTAACTCTGGATGATGATAAGATATCAAAGGGATGACTATGCAGGGTGCCAAATCAGGCAGTTTCTAGGCAGAGGGTGCCTCGTTCTCTCCAAAGATGGCCTTGCACAGAGGATGGCAGAAAAGTAGCAGACCCCTGAATGGTACAGCTTGGAATATAGTCCAGCACAAACCAATGGTAGATGAATTGAGGAGCATCTCTGAACCATATGTATTGAGTTAGGTCCTAGCAACCAACTTGACATAACTGGGTGAAGTCAGTAATATTGACTCAGATTGAATGCTTGCCTTTTCAATGAAAATGTGTTTCAAGAATATGTTTAGTTTGATTTGAGGAAAACAGAAAATGAAATATGTATTGCATAGCTGAATATCTATCTAAGATTCACCACTACTAAATAATCTCTTTAAAAAGAAGATATTTTTGTACTCCTACATCACTTATCTTTTTGGATTATCTCATTGACATTTTTGTGCTAGTGAAATTGATGTGTTAAAGAGTAAGGGCATTTTTAATGACCCTGGAAATGTATTACCAAATTCCCTATCCAAAAGTCTGACCAATTAATACTGCCACAGTCATTACATTTACTAGATTTAAATGACTTAAATTTAGTTTTTTTATGTTGTCGTTTTATCCATTCATTAAAAAACTGTGCTTCCATATTTTTCTATGTCATTTACTTTGGAACTAGTGAACTATTGTCTTTTGTTCTTTTCTTTAAAAATCAGACCATCAGCTGATTTCTCAAAAGAGACCTTACAGGCAAGAAGGGGCAGAAAAGAAGTATTCCAAGTCATGAAAGTCAAGGACCTACATTAAGATTGCTCTATCCAGCAAAGGTTTCATTTAGAATGGAAGGGCAGATAAAGAATTCAGACACAAGATGTCAGAGGAGTAAATGGAAGCTGCACAAACCTCTTCCTAAGACCAAACTGGAATTACAACTAAATTATAAAAAAATCTTCATGAATAACCAACTGAACACTAGCTGGAGAGAAGCCTTATAACCATGGAGAGAGAAAGAAACCACATCACCAGAATAAAACTGGTATGGACTCCAGAGCAGATGGGAGAGGGCTGGTTGGGCTCCCACAGCAGCAGTTGAAGATTGGAAGGAATATTATATTGGCCAGGGTGAGGGGAGGTTCCCTATGAAAAGTGTGGGCTCCTCAACCTACACAACCAGTTCCAGGAAAGGAATTCAAATAACATGTAGCTGTGGCCCTGGCTGGCCCTGGGGGCATGTGAAAGGCAACCACATACTGATGTTTCTCTCCTTCCCTTTCTCCCTCCTTTTCCCTCTCTCTAAAAAAATAAATAAAATCTTAAAAGGAAAAAAAAATACAGCTGTGAAAAGCAGTAGGGTTTCTGTCCAGCAGGGAGAGGCGGCTGGAGATCCAGAGGGCCTCTTAAAGGGCCAACACACAAAACTCCATTTGCAAACACTTACCCTGGGCTCCGGCAGAGGGAGGGTAGAGTGGACTAGAGACACATGAAGACAGTATAGGAGTCGGGGCTCTGGGGAGAGAACTAGGAACTGCCACCAGGATCCTTATGTTGAGTCTTTGCCCATACTGCAGCAGCCATATTCTCAGGCAGAGCACTCCTCTCCAAGTGGCATCAGCCTGAGGAGAAGCAATAGCCCTGCCCACAGGATTCACTCCTACCCCACAGGTGTACAGGTTAACCTGGACTGCTGAGTACAGCTGGAGGTTGTTATCTCAGTGATTAAGTTATAACAAGTATGGCAGATCTCTGGGAGCTCTGAGACTTTAACTAACTCTCCCTCAGGCCTGGGCTGGTAAAAAGCCAGCCATGGTGTACAAACTGGTTCTTTCTGTACACACGTAGACCCAGCAGACAAAGCCACAAGCTGTGGATCTGAGAACTGCAACAGGTTGCCCGGGGCCAGTCTGAAGCAGTGTTTGATATAGGTTTACACCAGAGTCTTTGTAGAGCCACCTAATACAAAGAAACAAATACAAAGAAGCAGCTCAAATGGGGAGACATAAAAAGAGATCCCAAGTGAAAGAACAAGATAACTCTTCAGAAGAAAAGCTAGATGAAATGGAAGAAAGCAATTTAACAGATAGTTTAGAGAAATGATTATAAGGATACCCAACAATATAAAAAAAGACATACTGATAGAAACCATAAAAAATGACCAGTCAGAAATAAAGAAAGCAATGTGTGAAATAAAAAAATACACTGGAAGAAATAAACAGTAGGTTAGATGAAGCAGTTCAGATAAGTGATTTGGTAGATAAGATAGGAAAAAACACCCAAGAACAGCACCAAAAAGAAAAAATATATATTAAAAAATGAGGAGAGCTTAAGAAACACTTTGGACAACATGAAGCACAACACATCTGCATAAAAGGAATACCAGAAGGGGAAGAGAGTGGACAAGGGATAAAGAACCTATTTGAAGAAATAATGACTGCAAACTTCCCTAATCTGGTGAAGGAAAAAGACACACAAGCCCAGGAAGCTCGGAGAGTACCAAACAAGTTGGACCCAAAGAGGCCTACACCAAGACACACCATCATTAAAATGGCAAGGCCTAAAGACAAGGTTCCTAAAAGCCACAAAAAAGCAGATAGTGACATACGAGCGAGCACCAATAAACCTGTCATCTGATTTCCAACAGAAACATATTAAGACAGAAGTGAGTGGCATTAAATCTTCAAGGTGATGAAAATCCAGGACCTACAACCAAGGCTACTTTACCCAGCAAGGCTACCATTTAAAATTGAAGGAGAAAAAAGGAGCTTCCAAGATATAAAAAAGCTAAAGGAGTTTGTTAACACCAAGCCAGTACTGCAACAATGCTCAAGGGCTTGCTTTAAGAAGAAGAGGAAGAAAAAGAAAAGGAAAAAAAACAGAGGAAACAATACATTTTATTGTATTGTTTAACAAACATTTATTTGTTAACAATAACATTTATTGTCTAACAATAAATGACACTAAACACATATCTATCAATAATCATCTTAAATATAAAATGGCTACAATTCTCCAACTAAAAGACACAGGGTAGTTGAATGAATATAAAATAAGACCAGTATAAGATGCACTTTGCCTCCTAGAACAATCAAAAGAAGGTCAACAACAAATTTAAAAACAAAAACTAATCAGAACTGCCAGAAAACTGAACTTTATGGAAGTCCAACAGCCAAGGAGTTAAAGAACAAACATTCACTTATACTGGTAGGAGGGGCGGAGAGGCAGCCAGGGCAGAAAGGACATGCAGCAATGTGGTAGATGGAGAACTGGGCAGATGAGGTAGTGACTGGAGGACCAAGTGGTCCCACATTTGCATACAGATAAACCAGGAGGAATAGCTGGGAAGAGAGAGAGAACACACAACCCAGGTTTCCAGTGGGGCAGGGGGGATGAAACCTCAAAACCCCTGGCTATAAAAACCTGTGGGGGCTCTGAAGGCAGGGGAAACTTTCAGCCTCACAGGACAGTTGGTTGGAGAGGGCCATAGGTCCTAGAATGCACACAAACCCACCCACCATGAAATCAGTACCAGAAGGGCCCAATTTGCTTGTGAGTAGCAGAGAAAGTGACTGAAAGCTGGCGGACAGCCAGTTAAGCTGCATTGTTTCATCTCTGACTCCTCCCCCACATATAGCACCACACCACAGAGAAGTGGGTTGCCCCAGCCTGGCAAATACTTAAGGGTCTGCCTCTTATAACATAACAGGTGCACCAATACAAAGAAATATAGGCAAAATGAAAAAACAGATCAAAACTCCAAAAAATAGAACTAAAGCAACGAAGAGATAGCCAATCTATCAGATGCAGAAATCAAAACACTGGTAATCAGGATTGTTGGTAATCAGGCTGCTCACAGGAATGGTTGAGAATTGTCGCAAAGCAGTTAAAAGGAAAGGCTTTGCAAAGTGAAATAAAGAAAAATATACAGGGAACCAACAGTGAAGGGAAACCTGGACTCAAATCAATGATTTGGAACAATAGGAAGAAATAAACATTCAGCTGGAACAGAAAGAAGAAACAAGTATTCAAAAAAATGAGGAGAGGCTTAGGAACCTCTAGGACAAGTTTAAATGTTCCAACATCTGAATCACAGTGGTGCCAGAAGGAGAAGAGGAAGAGCAAGAAATTGAAAATTTATTTGAAAACATAATGAAGGAGAACTTCCCTAACCTGGCAAAGGAAATAGGCTTTCAGAAAGTCCAGGAAGCTCAGAGGGTTCCAAAGAAGTTGGATCCAAGGAAGCACATACCAAGGCACATCATAATTATATTACTCCAGATTAAAGATAAGGAGAGAATCTTAAAAGCAGCAAGAGGAAAAGAGAAAGTTACCTACAAAGAATTTCCCATAAGACTATCAGCTGATTTCTCAAAACAAACCTTATAGGCAAGAAGGAACTGGAAAGAAGTATTGAAAATCATGAAAGGCAAGGACCTCCATCCAAGATTACTCTCTCCAGCAAAGCTATCATTTATAATAGAAGGGCAGATAAAGCGCTTCCTAGATAAATAAGGTCAAGTTAGAGGAGTTCATTGCACCAAGCCCTTATTATATGAAATCTTAAAGAAATTTATCTAAGAAAAAGATGATGATCAAAACTGTGAACAGTAAAATGACAATAAACACAATTATTAACAACTGAACCTAAAGCAAAAACAAAAACAAACTAAGCAAACAACTAGAACAGGAACAGAATCACAGAAATGGAGATCACATGGAGGGTTATCAGTGGGGAGGTTGGGGGGGAATAGGGAAAATGGTACAGGGAATAAACATAAATGATAGGTATAAAATACACAGGGGGAGGTTAAGAATAGTATAGTAAATGGAGAAGCCAAAGAAGCTATATGTAGGACACATAGATACGAGCTAAGGGGTGTGGAAACACTTGTGGGAGGGGATTCAGGGCAGAGGGGAATAAAGAGAGAAAAAATGAGGCAACTGTAATAGTATAATCAATAAAATACACTTAAAAAAGAAGCAAGACCCATATATATGCTATGTGCAAGACACCCACCTCAGATGGAAAGATATACACAGAGTATAAGTAAAGGATAGAAAAAGATATTCCTTGCAAATGGAAAGGAAAAGAAAGCTGGGACAGCAGTACTTACCTCCAAAAAGCCAAAGCTGTAAGAGATAAAGAAGAACAGTACATAACAATAAAGGGGACAATGCAAGAAGAGGATATAACTCTAGTGAACATTTAGCACCCAACATAGGAGCGTCTAAACATGTAAAGCTAATCTTGTTGGACATAAAGGGAGAGATCAACAGAAATACAATCATAAAAGGGGATTTTTAACACCCATTGACTTCAATGGATAGATCTTCCAGACAGGAAAGCAACAAGGAGACAGCAGCCTTAAATGACACACTAGATCATACAGATTTAATTGATATCTTCAGAGCATTTTACCCCAAAGCAGCAGAGTATATATACTTTTCAAGTACACGTGGAACATTTTCTAAGATAGAACACATAATAGGACACAAAACATGTCTCAGTAAATTTAACAAGATTGAAATCATATCAAGCATATTCTCTAAAGACAATTCTAAATTGTTTTCTAAAACTAGAAACAATCAGAATAAGAATACTGAAAAGTACACAAAGACATGGAAGCTAAATAACATGTTATCAAACAATGAATGGGTCAACGATCAATGGGTCAAGATCAAGGAAGAAATCAAAACATACACTGAAACAAATGAAAATGAGGATGCAACAATTCAAAATCTGTGGGACACTGGGAAAGCAATCCT